TGTGCAGTCATCTAAAGCATTTCACTATTACAAACATATGGGATACTTTACAAAGAAAAAGTGAGCAATAGATACATTGTCACTGACAGTTGGATCGCTGTTACCAAGTTGTACATTACATGTATGTAGAGATACTATATAAGGCCAAAGCTGAAGTCATTTAATACAGCACTGAATCTGGGGAAGTATTGGATAATCCAGATATCCAGAACATTTCACTAAGGTGATATGATAGGCGACTCACATCATTACAAATGTACTGAAAAATAAATAAACCAACGTTTCAAAAGCCTTGCTTTAAAGGTCAACTATTATACAAAATCCACATTTTCATGTATTTTATACATAAACATGTGTCCCCTTTTGAAAGTTTCAGGAAAAAAGATTCTCTCTCTTTTTGTCCTGATCCATTTATATAAAAACCTGTCTGGAAATGAGCTGATCAGATTTCGGCCACTTTATGATGTCATAACAATTCTTTGGCTTGTGTACCCATTAGCCAATCACCAACCAAGGTAACACCGGCCACCTTATCACCTGAATCTCCTCCTAGAGCACCATTGTGTTCTTTTTAACCAAATATTTCTCAGAGGGGCGTGGGGGGTAGCTCCTTATTTTCATCTAAAGTAACAGACACAGAATCAGCACTTTTGAAACAGGGCTGAAACAGAGGGGATTATGGGATGCTACAATGGGTGATCTGTTTGGTATTTAGAGCCAAACACTTCAGAGACATGTTTTGTATATATCTGAGACCTATAAGATATTGATGAAAAACAGTATAATAGGGGACCTTTAAGTTGCAAAACAACTGCAAGCCTGCATTACACTTAAACTCAGATATACTGTAAGATATGTGTAAATCCTTGATCATAAACCGTGTTCCTAATCTTTATATGCCAATAACAGTGTTGCACAATTTGATCAGCTACCTCTATACTTGCCCAGTGGGGGACAAATAACTTCGACTGGCTCAGACAACTTCATTGTAATTACTTACTCAGCCACAAATCCACTAAACAGGCTCTCAGGTTTAACAGACTTCGATTTACAATAACTACAAGAAGGTCCTTCAACTGGTGATCTGTCTTCCTGGACTCTTTCTCCATCACTACATAAACAACACTCAGGCTGTGCTGCCAGATGGACAACGATAGCGCTCCATGATCCAGGCCTCCTGGCCAACGGAGCAGGGGAGAGGCTGTGAGAGCATGCGATGAGACGGGATGGCTCATCAACCAACACAGCGAACATGGAAAGAAATTAGACCGGTGGTAACATAGTCACTGGAAAACTATCATGCAAACAGAACAGGCTGGTGAAAGGCCAGGATGCTGTTATGGAGTCATAGTGAAAGCATTGGTTCAATTTGTGAGAAGTTAGAAATTGTAATTAGCGTGACTGATTAGACACAATTTAAAACTAATAAAGCCTTATCTTACTCTTGCTTTATGCCAATTTCATTTTATTCTTTGGAAAAATTAAGGAGATTATTAAAAGACACTAACAACATCTTGTGACATCATCCCAAAAAAAAAACGATTTGGGTAGCAACAGGCATTTCCAATGTGAATATACACAGTAATTGCTGTGTGTATATTGGGTGGGCTAATTCTGATGTCCTCTGCAGACAGTCTAGCTTCCAAGATATTTAACACTTGGAAACTGAGACTTTTTTTTAAGGACACATTAGGGAATTGTGGAGGAAAGAAGAGAGGAAAAGGCCTTCTTTCACATAATTATGTATAGTGTCTGAATAACCAACAGTTAAAGTAACTTGTGGTGTGTGTCTTTGTATGTCTGTGTCCATGTTTTGAACACTGCATTATACGCATTTACAGGCAGATGCTTGCAGTCTCTGAAAGCAGAGGACAGGTCTGAGCTCCAGTAATGAGAAGCACATGTGTTCCAGGAGACTAAACCTCCTCCAAGTTCATCTTCTTTTGGCTAAACACTTCAATCCATCAGTGTCCTTCCTTTCATCAAGCTCTCTAAGCATGTGAGTTATGTAAATGAATATGCATATAATGTGTGTGGTATGTGTATATATAGTATACGGTTTGTTCTCAAGAGTTATTGGTTGTTTCCGTCCTCCTCGCTTCAGCCCTGTCTCTTCTCTGTCCTCCCAATATCCCTTCCATCTTTCCATTGCCATGCATTTCCAAGGACACTCAACGTTAATTTAAACAATGACCTTGATATGTTCCAGAGGGTTTGAAGGTTTTGAAAATAGAAGAACCAGGTGTACTGAAAGGCTGTGCGTTTTAAATTGCATATTGGATTCACATATTATTGTAAGCGATCCAAACAGTGCAGTTGAAATGAGAGGGTAGGGGTGCTATAACAATGTTCTTGATTACCTACAAAAGAGGAATATTTCTAGATACAGCCTTTAAGTGAGCAATCGTTTGTGTTGGCCACAGGCTATACAAACTTCAAATCATTAATTACAGGTATTTGTATAGGTACTCTCTGCAGGCTTGTCTGTAGTCACAGAAGGATCCAAGATTGCAGAACTTGTAGACCTGTTGTGTTATTGACCAATGTAATCTATCATCTTAAAGTATATAGATATTTCCATCTTTAAGCGCAATTTTATCTTGTATCTAATTGCGGGGACTATTTTCCATTACTTTACATTGTTATGATAACTCAGTGGCAGGGAAGAGCCAAAATAAAGGTGAGATAAGTAGTGAGAACAATATAAACTCAGCCTTCAGTTTATTTGTAATACTTATCTAAATATCATGCAGTAAACCCAGCAATAAATCCTACTTTAATGGAAGCAGGCTGTGGTTTGTGGTGCTGCTGAGATGTATTGCATTACAATGTTATGTTGTATGCTCATATTATTAAGCTGACATTGTCAATTTCCGCAAGTGCAAAAATAACATAAACTAGTGCAATAACTTCTACGAATGCCACCTTTTTGTTCGGCGCCTCAGGGAGGCTTTGTTCTGGCTAGCTGATGATACCAACTTCAGGCAAGCTGCAAACAACACACTGCCAGCTAGCCGTCAAATTCATTACTTTAGTCAGACATAATTGACAGACATAATTGTTTTCACACACATCTCCCACAAACTGTATATGGTAGAGTAAAACTACACCGAGAGCAAAAACCTCTTTGTCCGTTATAAACTGCCTTAATATTGTCTGAAAGTGACAAGAGGCTAGCATAAAAAAGCTAATTTTGGCAATCACACCATGAGGACTGGTGAGGAGAGGGTGTCCAACAGCTGTTCATAAAGAGGAAGTTCTTCTTTCCAACTTTCAGTGTATTGTCAAAAGCTGTATGCTGACAGCCTTCACAATTAGTGTGACATTTACAAGATCTTGCATGAGCTGGGCTGCAATTCACTGCAGTCACGCTACTCACATAGCCAGCTGCTGTTCTCCATTACTGGCCAAGCAAGGTGCATATCTGTGGAATGTCCCTGCAAGGCTTCCACATAAGAATGAATGGCAGCTCTCTTAATGTGTGTGTGACTGTGCATCTAAGAGTAGTTGTTTGCATTTGTGTGTCCAGAATCGTGCTTTATATACTAATGGTTAATACAAGGGTCGAAGATTTTCATGAGCTTGTAGCATATCAATTCTTATGGCATGTGTTCTGCAACATAAGCCAAAGACTGACTAACTAATGCAGATAGATTTAACCTGCCATTAAGAGTCTTACCTGCTGCTGTACTGTGGACGTGCATTTGAATAGTAATGGAGATATTACTTGTAAGATATGCAAAAAGTTGTCATATCCAAATTTGGATAGCTTTATATCTGATGGAATGCAATAAGGCCAAAATGAAAAGTAAACGCTATTGGAAAGGGAAATTCACGGATTACAGAACAAAACTACAAAAATAATATATATTACATAATCTATTACAACCCCTTAGGGATTTGAAGCCCTTTGTTACCTTTAAGAAAACCTGAAATGACCCATAGCTCTGTGTTAAGAGATTTGTAATGGAGGGAACACCTAGATCCAAACAGCACTTACTTAAAAAAACACAAGGAACTGCCTTTAACATCCTGTGCCACACACTAGAGGAAGAACTTAAATACATACAAAAGCCAGAGCAATATTTCCCACACAGCTCTGTTGCCACCAGCCAAAACAAACCTCTACCAAATACTTGATATTAGGTCATTTTCATGAAATGGCTCCCCTGTAACTGCTCTTAAGGGCGAAGGTGTGGCACTCCAGAGTCTATAAAACGGTTGCTTGTTTCTTTATCTTTGTCGACACGTAGAGGTAAGCCAAGATAGTATCAGCAATGCTTACGGAAATTCAGCTATGGCTAAACATTGCTCACACAGCAATGCAGTGCAGACTGGGATACAGCAAAGGAAAATATTTACTGTATGATATCGGAGAGAAGGGCCACGGTCAATTTCAACACGGGGGTTTCCAGATATTGTAGGGGTCTAACATTACAATAACATTAATCAGTGCCCTGGCACCATTGTTAGTCAGGCGTTGATGCCCGTTTGCCAATCACCACCCCCTCATGCAGCAGAGGTGTAACATTCCTGGAAATATCTGCATCAACCCACCCTGTCAGGATGCCCCACAGCTGCCAAGCAACTTTGTGATAAGAAAACTTGGTGACAACCCATCAAAAGACTCTGTAGCCCCTTCCCTGAATCCGTGCATGTCTCCCTATTCTATTGGTGTGTGAACTTATTGTGGTTTATACATTAAATAAACATTTTCCACCCCATACAAATACATTTCCTTTCTTTAAAAGTGCAAGTATTGCAAAGGAGTATTCCATTCAACAATCTGTTCACCTTTACGGCTTTATAGCTTTTACCTCATTGAACTTTAATTTAGTGTACTGTAACAACACATGGTTAGGAATACGTTTTCAAATCTAACATATTTATATAAATGAATATAAATGTTTCCATTTTAATACATGCACATACAAAATACAAAGTATATTTTCTATTAAGTTAGACCACAAAACTCAATAAAGAGCAGAAATGTAACTAACCTGGTTTAGGGGGCTTTCCACCTTGTCCTGTTGGGCGAAAACAAGTAAAAACACATGTGAGGCTACGCTTTTGCCCTTTATCAAAACTGTCCATATTCTCATATATTCTTGTGTACAGTATATACCGTGTATGACAATAATCATTTTCTGTTACCAATAATTAAAAACGTGTGTTGATATGATTTAAAAACTCAATTTAAAAGGCCAATTAAGATGTTAAAGGCAAACTATTAGTGACAACAAGTTTTAATTGTCATCTTCTTACCTGCTCCCAGTCCTCCAACGCCCAGGCCACCGTGCCCGACGCCTCCTGGCACCAGACCCCCTGGTCCTACTCCACGGCCCCCACCTCCATAACCTCCGACTGTCAGGGTCAAACACAGTGATTGTGATCATATTGTCATTATTGTTGTCAAAATGCATTGCTATCATCTGCTAATAATGTTCTTGCCTTGTGGTCATGTTGTAATCGTCATTACTTAGGCTTTCCATTTCTAAGATTATGATAACCATTACTCACCCCTAAGCTTGTACAAGTGAAATATGTAACCGGCCACACATTTGCAGACCTCAAACCTCAAAATGTTTTCCAATAAAATGACTCAATAACAGTGGTTGGCTCAACACAAATTGTTTATTGCTACAGCAATGTTCTGAGCATTTAATTCTAAGCTTGTGGTATTGTGACAAGGAAGTGTGTGCATGTGTTACCGCCATGCAGGTCGGACCAGACCGAAGCTGAGTATTGACAAGGGATTTGGTTTTATACAATTATTTCTTCTTGAAGTTCAGTTCTTCCTGCAGTAATGGCTTTAGTACTCCTGGCTATACAACATGCAGAGAAACTTAGTAATGTAAGTAATACAGATTTCTAAATATTTGACAATATAATTCCCTACTAATAAACAGTGTTCCCTTTTTATATCCAAGCAGGGAAACAGAAGTGCACCAGTGCACGATAAACCAGATACGATTCTTATACAGGAGATGGGGGAAAGGATCATAAATCGAATGTCTCTTCTACTCACCTGCAGCTTTTGCTGGTTTATAGCCCGCAGGGACTCCTCCAGCAGACCCTTGTAAAATAATAATCATACAAAGTATATAGTTATGGTATGCGTACATGTAGTGATGTAATGTACAGTTTTTTGGCTAAGCAATTTAATATTACACCATCCGAAGTCTTACTTTGTTACAGGACACCCTGATTGAGCGTATTGTAGCGTCTTGTGGCATTGTCTGCATTTGTTTCTTTACTATGAGAGTGCAAAGCTCCATACAGCTTGTAGGAGCTTTACAATTATATTTATTTAAACTTATCCATAATACATACTGCAATGAATAAAGTGAGTTATTTGCAACTGTAGGAAGTATTACTGTTGCATGATCCTAAAGGCGTGAAATTTATTTTAAAAAACGTGTTAATTATTTTATCTTTTGAGTAAAACAATGAATTACTACATCACTCAGATATTTGTTATACCGATCTGTGTTAACTTTCAGTAAAACCTCTGGTCTTAACTGGTATACTTTAACTGTTCTACGTCTGCTAAACACCAACAGACTTTGTTTGTCGCTGTGTTGTGGATTATTCTCTTTAAACTGTCCAGGCAGTCAGCAGAGGCTCTGTTACCTGGAAAGAATCCAGTTCCATGTCCGGCGCCTCCTGGTCCAATCCCAGTACCAGGTGGTACATACACACCTGAAACATACAAGAGAGAATGCATAGGTCATCCTCTATCAACAACACGCATGACACCATCTAAGCCGTCCATGTCTTTTTGATTATTATTTTATTGCAATGAACAGCATTTCTGAACAATGACCCCCCTTTTATTAGATAAACATTCTCTAACACTTCCATCATCTCTGACACCAAAACGGAAATCTGTCTTGGCATAAACATGTGCCCAAGGGCAGGTCAGGTGATGGGCAGCATATTGAAATGTGAACACAGCAGTTCCAGCCAAAGTGAAAGCAAAGAAACTAAACGTTATAGGTTTGATCATGAGAACGTTCTAATTGTATTCCTACTGATGAGGTATTGCAGTTGGAAAGCTGCTGCAGTACTGTGGACACCCGCCACCCCCACCTGCATCCCCTAACCTCATTTCATGACAGATTTCTGGAATCAACCCATGCAGAGAAACCCCTGAGAGAGTCGTTCTGGATCCCAGACATGGTGGCCTCATGTGTGCAAGAAACAGCAATGAAATAAAAATAACGGGACGATTAAAAATTCCCTCTAGTTGTTATGGGATGACTAAAAGCTAAGCCCTACGAGACTGGTGAGCTGAGGCCAGAAATATCAATTTATTTGAGGGAAAAACCTGGTTCATATCAATAAAAACAAAACGCAGAGGAGAGAACAGGGCTACAGGATCACTATGATTACGTTTAATGGCAATTGCATGCGGTGGGAGGCCAATTAATTTAAACCACATGTCAAAGGCGATAATATTTTATTAGCAAATACTGTGTGAACACTGAGCTTTGTTCTGCCCACTGAGTGTAGACACTGGGGGGAAAACATTACCAGTTTGTCACCTAAGGAGGCAAATGTTGGGAATTAGGTGTGCCTATTACTCAAATGCACTGAAAAATGCTTTAACCTTTTAACTAACAAGCTGTGACATATTTAATTGGTTTGTGCTATTGTACTTCAGCGCTGATTGATGAAACAAACTCATGATATGCATTATCCAGCAGGAAACTCCAAAAATCAACTGTTGGAAGGGTTGTAAAGAGATTTAATCATATACCCGATGCTAAGAACCATCAGGTGTGGAATGACTAGCAAAGAAATTGAGCAAGAGTTTGTCTTTTTGGATAGACAATCTGCAACTACACTGCAGATTCTGAAAGCCAACAAGGGTTTTAGAGTATGGTCATGAGAAATGTAGGCGAATATTCCATAATTTAAGTTTTTTCGTGCAGCAGTATACGTTATGGCGGCAGCTGTGGCTTTGGACACAAAATTATTCCATGAATGAACGAATGGACAGATGAGAGGAAAGTGTACTAATGTATCCAGGTCTGGGACATGGACGATGGCAGAACTAATCAGTTTTCCTGGGATCTGGCCTTGTAAAACTGAGGACTTACTGCAGAGAAGGTACAATCCTACAGGCTCAAATAAAAATGAGGGAAACATAAGAAAGTCCAGGGTTATGTACTTGATCATCAAATGGCTAAGTCACTGCAAGTAATGTGTATGCATGTACTTGTGTCTCTGTCAGTGTGTCCATGCCATTGGCTTCAGATCTCAGGTGCAGGCAGCACATGCCTGGGATTGAGTGATTGTTGGAATTGAGCTCTTCATTTAACAATCAAAAAGAGGATTTCCTGTCTGGACACAGCAAGCGGGGCAAAGGGAGAATGTCTGCTCCAGTTTTCCTTTCACTCAATTCCATCATGTTACAATACAAATGCTAGAGAGCATCAGGTTCACTGCGATTGTGCAGTCATGTAGTCACACACCGACCTTTGTCAGGTGACCTTCCCTACATTAATACAAAAAGAAAAGTAATTTTCCTTAATTATTATCATCATCATCACCACGTGCTTACGCATCTTGTGAACTCCGCCAGGTCGTGAGAATGTGCTGGAATGTGTGTGATGGACAATATTGACTTGCAGAGCTCAAGGGAATAGATGAGGCAAAACGAATTGTACAGTCGACAGTCAAGAGTTCACTCTAACTGTTTGTTATATGATTAATGGTGGTTAATAAAAAATCCTTGGAAAGAAGATTTGAAATGATTACCAGGTGGTGAGTTTTTTTAATAGGGATCGTGCTGAAACAATGGCTTAACTATTGAAAGATAAGAATGTCAAATATAGCCGAATGTGTTAAGCCAAGCAAACTAGAGGATGACAAGTTAGAAGTCATCTCTGACAACTATGTTATGAGGCGATGGTGATGTTATTCCATTTACAAGAATCCTGACAGTGATTTAAATCTATCTTTACTCCATTTTGCATTTGAATCTGCCCAAACTTAAGGCTCAAAGTCGACAGTGAATCAGTAAATTAGAAATACAGCCAGTTAAGCAAAATGGAGATAAGTAAAATTGAAAGATTGGGAGAAAAATGATTGAGATAATTGTACACATTATTATTATCAAAACAGTCTATGAAACTGGTGGATGATTTTTTTGGCGGCAGTTAGGTTGCTCAATGTTCAGCCCATGATGATGTCGTAGAGATTTCTAACATTTCCAAGAACCCCAGTAGTATGTACTGTATAAGAGCAATATGGTTTTGTAACAACAAAGAAGTTTACGGTAACTTTTTCGTTTATAAGGGAAAATCCTGTCAAGACTTGACACTTTCACATGGTTATTAAATCCAAAATCCAAAAAAAGCAGTGCAATTGCTGAGAAATTTCAAAATCAGATTTAGGTTTCTAGAGGATTTAAATGTGTATTTATACAACACAAAAATGACAGTGAGCAGATCAAGGGCTTAGCCTTAGAAGAAAATCATTAACGTAACCAACATATGCATATGTGGTGGTTTTGGTCTCTCCAATTACCTTGTTTAGAATTTTGATAAAATGACGTAATCCACCAGACATAAGCAAGCAGGTAGAAAGAACTGTTTCCAGCACATTTTTGGTTTAGTTTGGCATCATGTCCTGTTCTGTACGCTGGCCTAGAAAGTATGAATTGACATGTTTATCAAGTATTTTCAATATCAATGCAGGCAATGGAGCCCACAGAAAGTGATAGATGAATATTATCCAGTCTAAGTTGAAAAAGTAACACTACGCTGAGATGGTCTAATAACAGTTTTTTTTACATACAAATTTAATTTAATTTATGAGTTGATGGAACATTTTCAAGGTGCTATGAGTAAAAACACCAACACTAATGCTAAATACGACAATCCCCAAATGTTTCCAAAGATTTATGGGACCATACCATTTATGATCACAGAGCTGCACTCTAAATTGTTTGGGAAGTCCTTCAGAGAAAAACCCTGTAATGTGTTTATATCAACACTGACCACCTGACATCAATTCCGATGAAATTCAAATAAAATGTTGGCAAACTAGAAAACTGTTTGCTGTGTTTTGAAATATCCAAAACCACTGTCCCAGAAGAGAAGGTTTGGTCTCTTGGTCTATGGAAAGCTCTCATACTGAAACCCAGAGCAACAGAGCAGTGAAGCAAACACTGTGGTTGTTGGCACTTTCAAATCTCCTGTTATCAGACATGTGACAGCTGGCCCACTATCAGTCAGCCCTTGTCTATTTTCCACAGCATGTTGTAGGCAAGAGAAAGAGAGCGGAGAGCTTCAAAACATTTAAATAAATTGGTCCATCTTTTTCTGGTAACAGACCTCAACCTAACTCCACCGTCGCTTTCTTCAAGGCCAAACCTTGACAGTGAAACTACCCTGAAGTAGAACATTGGTGTGAGGTATGGCAGGTATATACCAGCAAACAAATTCACAGCCCATTATCGGCCATATTTGAACCCCTAAGAAGATCTGATTCTCATCCTGTTCTTATTGAATGTGGCTTTTGAGTGTCTGAAGTATCGTCTACCAACTGGCAGAACATCGTTACATAATTAGATAAGATGTGCCTTTTAAAACAACAAATTGAGTCTGTAACAGATGTGGACTTTCTGTTTAGGTATTTCATAACTGGACTTTGTGAAAAGATAAGCAGTGATTGAACACAATCATTAGCCTCGTCTATTATTGTGTCAGATGTGATAAATTAGATACAAATTACAGTGTGCCTTCTCTCCTTTCCCTCTATCTGAAGCTTTTAAACCAAAAAAGATCTGACGCAATATCTGCTAATAGCAGCAAAATGACTGAGTAGTAGTAACTGCTGAAATAGTCATAAAGTTTAGGTTTCCAAAAATGAAATTGCACTTAGGAATGTAATGTTGAGGCGCAACATCTGAAATATGAGAAGGAACATGAATGAGAGAAGGAATCATAAATAAAATGTTTGAGCAAGATATTGACTGTTCAACTTTTATACTGGCAATGAGAAAATAAGTTTACAAAGTTGGACAGGGAAAGCATAAAATATTAGATTTATGTGAATGAGAAATTCAGGACCATCCTGTCGAGTCTGCAGTGAATTTATAAAGAGTATGTGGGAACTGGACATGTTCTCCAGTAGTTTTGTTACTAAAACCCAACAAATACTTTCAAAATGCTGTTTTGTTTGGTTTAGCCCAATGTATTGATGCCAAAGGCCTAAAGCTGCCATATTTACTCCCACCCTCTTTCACAAAAAGAAATCCCACTAAAACTAATATAACACAGCATAGAATATTTTCATGCCCGAGGATTTGATTATATTGACGTAATGTGTTTAGTCAGATTGATTTTATTACCATTTTCTCTCATCAGTTTATCATCAGTTCTGGCTTTGAATTGAAAAAACGTTTCTTTAATACTAATGTTGTGCTCATGTTGTCATATTGTTTGTAAACCTATAATATCTTGGAAATCAGTAGGCAGTGGGGGGTCAAGAGGAAAACATTGTGACAGAAGCCCTTTCAGTGTGCTGGCCCAGAGAGAGCTCACAGCCCGGTGAGGTCTGCCTGCAGAGTGGCTGGAATGAATCATCGGAGTTAATGTGCTTCTAACATCTGACTGGGAGATGCTAGGACTGAACTTCTTCCACAACCAGAGTAAGAGTTAGAACTTAACAAAGTATTAACTGTTTCTAGCTATAACGAGGACTCAATACTATGTGATTACCCTTACAGAAAATGTACACATGCTGTACAGTATAATATCTACGTATGTTGGCATTCAATCAACTGATTTGTGATTCAACTGAGCCATCCATTTATGATGGAATTGGCATCATACAGTCCATGAGGTTTACAAATGTATGACTACAGACAGTAACAATGTTGAGTATAGTGCAAGAGACAACCTCAGTGTACTTTAAACCTAAACATTTGTATTGGTCAGCAGGGGGCAACTCCAATGGTCTGTTGTGTAGAAGTCAATTAAAAAATGATCACACTTCTCAGTTGATTTATTACCTCAGTCCACAAACTCATGGACATTGTCATAGCGACTACGTCCACTTCTTGTATACACTGTATGGTGCATGGAGTTGACCCATTAAAAGTACAGTCAGTTGAATAACATGTCTTTTAAAAACAACCCAGACATACAGTTGGATTCTTAAACTGCACTTTGTAGTTACAGTTAGTAATGGCTTAGCTAGGAGCTTTGAAAAAGAAAATGTGTTCAGTGCCAGCCAACAAGCTTAAATGTAAAATGCACACCGAGGATTGAATTGTCCAATCCCTTAACACTTTCCCAGAATGTGTGCAAGACTAAAAAACAAAGATATCGAATAACAGTTCTTTCACAATCGCAAACCTTAAACAGTCAGTCCTTGTAACCAAAAGGCTCCTTCCCAAAATGTTACTGAATGAGGTCACCTCACTACAAATTGCACAAAACCCCTCGACATCATCAAATGAAAATGCCTTTGTGGGTCCAACATTAAGGAAGTTGAAGAAATTGAACAAAAAAACTCAACTCAAGAAAAACCTTCAAGGCTTCTCAGGCAGGTCTATTTCTTTAATTACAGAGTGAAGTTGTTGGGAACTGGAATGCCCACTTTATGTGTCTCACGTTAATCCAGTATGCTATGGTTTGCACTGAACTTTGCCAGAAGAGGGATTAAAACCAGAGAGTTGTTCGTTACACAATACAAATAAAGGCACCACTTGCTTGAGGATTCAACACTATCAGTTTGGGTATCTACCAGCAAAGCCGGAGTAAAGCTGCAATTTATCACAAGTGTTTTATGACAACATAGTCATGCCATCCAATCTGCACTGTTTTCATTTAACTTCACCAACAGCCAGGCAGGTGTCAAGTATTAATATTGAATTCCTACAATGTCTCAGGGCTTAACTTGACCAATGCCAAATGAGGCAAACTGGCTTTCACCAGGACTAAAGAAAACATCCCACAACCTTTAAGACTGCAACAAAAGAAGAGGAGCTATTTCCCCTTATTCATCTTTCACTGGCCTGTCAGAATTAACTTAATCAATGACTTTGGCTCAAGTCCACCAGTTGGTTGTTGCCAAGTTAATACCTGTAAAACAGGATACTTGGTACTTGGGAGTTTTTAAAGCAAAAGAAAGTAATAAACATTGGTATCCTTTCACAAAAATTTGCAAATACTGTATGAGATTATCAGTCTTCCTTTTATTAAAGGTGGGGTAGGTAAGTTTGAGAAACCGGCTTCAGATACACTTTTTGTTATATTCCATGGAATGCTCTTAACATCCCGATAGCAATGAATATCTGAAGTGCTTTGACAAAAAATCCATTAAAAAATTTCATCTGTGGAAGCCGTAATACTGTAAAAAGTACAACCAATCCGTTTAGCCGGCCCGGCTAAACGGATTGGATTGCCGCCTTGTCTTGTGGATTGCCGCCTTGTCTGTCAGCCTTCCATCTCGTGCACGCACAAATGTATCTCGTGCCGTCATTGGGCGTGCATTGCAGCAGTACTTCAATGACTCGCTAGCAACAGGCGGCCACTTTCACCAGTCTGCTGACGTCATGTGCGCGTTCATGTGTGTTGGAGGAGGTGCTCTGTAAGGAAGGGGCGGATTCTTTTCGGCTGTGTACTTTCAAATTTTAGTGCACTCGAGCCGGTTTCTGAAACTTACCTACCCCACCTTTAAGTTAGTGGCAAAGGCAAACAAACTTGAATACATTCCTAAGTTGAGAAATCTATTCCAAGAATGTTATCAACTATCTGTCTGGGTTTGATTAAGTTATCAAATGCAGCAATAAAAAAATAGAGGTCAAAATAACATGCAACTTAACTGTACCCATGTGACAAATGTTTGTTTGTAAATTTTAAGCGTAGTCTGCCTACTCCATTATACTAGGAAGTTCCAGCAAAAGTAACTAAAGTACCTGTACAGCGTTATAGGTTACCATGACAGACGGCATATTTATTAACATACTCCTTTCCAGATGTTTCCTCTAGAACCATAACTCTTATACCCTTGTTGATAGAAAAGCTTTGCACTACACTATATTTCAAGGGTTGAATATCGCAGGTATGAGAGGTGTTTTCTGTGCATAGGCATTAAATAACCGGATTGGGTGTTAATAGGGTTTATGTTACTCACAGATAATTGACCCTTGCACCATGCAGAGAGCATTCTTCCCCTCAAGATAGAGTGCGCAGTTACAGATGGAACGAGTTTGAGCGCCACAGAAAGGTTTGGTTTAGACAGATTCAACAATCACTTGAGATCAAAGTGCTGTAAAGCCAATATTGATATATGTTGGCTCCTTTACCTACCACATCATTTTCTTCAGTTCACCTCAAAATCTCAACTGAAATGTGTCTGGCACAAAGAAGAAAGGATGAAAGTGCTATGAGGCAGAGAAGATGTGCAAAATACATTTTTAGATACAATCTATGACCTGATCAAAGCAGACTTGGTGAACTTTGTCAATGTGACCAAATTAGAGGAGGCCAATAAAGTAGCTAGGCAAGAATGACACTTTATATGGACAGAATATGTCATCTTTCTTTCATCTTACAAGCTAAACATAATGCATCTAAAAGGAAGATAAGTAACATAAACAGCTATGATCTTTAATCAAATAAATACAATTTAAAAAAAATGGACTCTAGAATAGCCAGCCCCAGGTGCTAAACATGTTGCCCAGATTGAGGCAGAATAACCAAGAGAATCTAAGTAAAAGCGCAGGCCAGAAACCTAATCAAAGCAATGCAGAAAGGGGAGAAACAGCAAAATCATGGGTCGAATGAGAGGGAAAGGAAACGCATGCTCACAATCTCTCTGTGTGTCTGAAACAGATATGCTGTACCTTTAAACTGCACTTGATGCTGGGCGCTCAAACCTGCAAGTTTCTGCTTCACTTATTCTAGACAGAACAGTCCTCTAACTTCAGGAGAAGACCTGACACACACATGCACTGTGTCCACTGGGACTTTTGGCAAAAAGAGGGACCAACTGGGTAACCTTCTCTTCCTGACACGTTATAGGACATGGTCTCCAGCCATGTAAACATATACTGTGTGTGTGTGTGTGTGTGTGTGTGTGTGTGTGTGTGTGTGTGTGTGTGTGTGTGAGTGTGTGTGTGTGTGTGTGTGTGTGTGTGTGTGTGTGTGTGTGTTGTGTGTGTGTGTGTGTGGTGTGTGTGTGTGTGTGTGTGTGTGTGTGTGTGTGTGTGTGTGTGTGTGTGTGTGTGTGTGTGTGTGGCTGTGTGTGTGTGTGTGTGGGGGTGGAACGCAACTTAACCGTCTTAAGAACACAGAAAAAAAAGAGAGACACAGAAATGTACGAACAATTATGATGCAGGGTTGGTTCTTATTATTCAAGCTGGAGTGATAAAGGTTTTACTGTCAGTGAGAGTAATTACCGTACAGAAATATCTGGTCAAATTCTGGACAGTGCTGAATCTCTACATTTGCAGGAACAGACATAACAAATATGATGCAAAGAAAAAAATATCTACGTTCCATCCCATCATCAGGGACCCTAACCCTAACAATGATGATGGGATGGAACAACACATTTCAGGAATTTAGAAATGTGCAGAAGATAGAGAAGACTAGACAATATTTAATTTCAAAGATTAAAAAAATCAAAGTTAGCCCTACAAATATTTCTTATTTGATATACCTTTAAACTACATTACACTGCAACAGATAAATAATACATGGTGTATATATAAATATGTGTACCTACTGTACAAAGCAAAACTTTGAGGAGGCACACAATCAAATTGCACCTGTTCTAAGCCTGTGATTGATGCAGTCCAATAAATGTCTCAGTTCACCTGCAGCACACACTTACCTCTTTGAAGAGAGGGATGAATCAGTGCTAAGAGGAAGAGTCCACAGAAGAGCAACAGAATGTTTCTGTTAGCCATCTCGCTGGAAAATGCACCACCCCTCTCCCGATCAGCTGGTTTTATTCTCTTCAAACTAATTACCACAAGCCCCCATAAGAGTAGGGAAAAGGTGAAAAAAAGGAAAAGATATGAGACTCTACGTAATTAAGAGTTCAATGGATCACTTTGCTTTTTTTCTCCTCTATGTCTGGTGTTGCTGTTTTATTCTGGTCACTCCTGCCAACAGTACAGACGCTGCTGCCAGCAAGGAAAGAGAGAGAAAGGGGAAGACACACACACACACACACACACACACACACACACACACACACACACACACACACACACACACACACACACACACACACACACACACACACAGATTAGGGAGAGAGACAGAGACACCCCCCCCCCTCTCATCCAGAAGGAATTGAACTGTCTGCCAAACATTTGCATGGATATTGAGCATACTTATCTGTGAGAGTCAAAAGAGAGACAGAAGAAGAGCAAACCAAATACCATAATAATTATCTTTCCTCATTGGCTCTAATGTTCACCCGGTTGGTTCTTAAAACAAGCAGTACAACATGTTTCTGCTGTTGCTCTTAAGCAAGTGATCCAGAAAGCATAACAGCAGAGGGAAAAGAACACAGCAACTATCAGCATGCATCTATAAATTATCAGAACAAGACATTACAAACTCACTCGCTGCAGGAATGATCTGGAAACAGCAGTGCACTGTGCCTGGCAGTCCATGTGGAGAAGTCAGTCACAGTGGTAAGCAACGAAAAAAGAAAACTGTCTGCATCCCACATAGAAGACAAGGAAAAAAGAACCTGAGAAACATCAGCCTGCTAGCCTGTGCAGTCTCACAGCAGGTTAATCAGGATAATTATCAATGTCAGTCCTGTAACAGATATCATAAGTAGAGGGAGGACCAACATTAGTCCACTCTCAACTTTAGAGAGCTTTAGTTACTAAAATTGTACTTTTTGTTGCGAAACAGAGGACTTGACCCCTGGAGCGTCAATCATCTTACTATACAGTATCTCAACAACCAGTCTTACTATGTACTTTTAAAAGTAACTTCAAAGAGATAGATCACATAATTGCACACATGGATTACATATTTATTCTGCGGTCTTCGAAAGTCAGAGGTCAACATATTGAGAAGAATCAATCACAGCAGGATTCTCCTCTCTTCTGATACCACCTGTACATGCAGGGTCATCATTATCATCACACTAACACAGGCTATCGGACCTTTATCTCTACAACAATTTTGACAGCATGATCTAGCTTTGGGAAATGCATGTTTATGAATTGGGAAAGAACGGTTGGTAAAAGAAGACGACTGCCCCAAAAAGGTTTTACAGCTTCATAATATCAACAAATCACTTTAAAACATCTTTGCTGAGTGATTAAGTGTTTCACAGATCTTGTGTCCACAGCAGAATTGAACTGGAGTTCGATCCAGAACAGGAAATATCCTCTCCAGGCACCTGTGTGCAGATTCATCTTGGCTTTACATTTAGCCATTACTTAAAAAACACCTCACTGCTGACAAGGCTGTCGTTGTCCAATTTTTTTTTTGTTCTGCCCCAGGACACATTTTTGGGATTTCAAGTAGAAGAGGTTGAGCAGAGGTACTTATTACTAGCGAGAGCTGCAGCCAAAGTCATTACTCTCTCAGACACACACCTGACAGACTGGGCTGTTGCATTCATGCTAATGGGTTCAGCTTTCCAAGAAACACAGTATCCTTCATAGTAGTGAAGTCCACCATTAGTGTTCTAATTCCCTCATGCTGATTTCCTTTAGGTTTGGTTAGGGGTCCTTAAAATATCAGATGTTAAATATTGTTTGTTTGGACTGAGGGGAAAGCATAATTTCCCTTAAATCATAAAGTAGAGTACGGCTACGGGACACATATTTTTACTCAAGTAGAATTATAATTAATATTGACCCATCTCCTAATTTCTGGGGAATAATGCAAATCTGTTTAAATTGTATCTCACATTTACCCATTTCTCTTTACATGTTGTGTAAAAACACATTTTGAATAATTTCACAATCCTTTAAACTGAACAAGTCATTTGGAAGAAATCTCACTGTTATAACATATATATTTAGATACTGCCAAAAACAAAGCCAAGCATTATTTATGGGAGCTAAATGAATGAAGATTAATGACATTAAATGATGGATGGTACAAGGACAGATTAAGAAGAGTATGTGACCTTGATGTTAGACGCCGGCCTGATTAATTACTGGGCCAACAAGTAAATATAATGAGCTGCCGGACTTGGTTATTAACTTAACATAACAGGTTTGTAAATAAGCGCCCTAACTCTTTATTCAAAGCCAATTGCAATGAATAACTGCTAACAATCTTCTCATTATCATACATAGTGGAATATCGATTTCAACAAGTCAAACATCTGTTTTTCAACAAACTCATCAGATGCATGACAAAAAACACACTGAATGGAGTCCAACAAATCTATTAGTCAATAAGATTAAACATTTGAACTGCACTCAGCTCTTATGATTACAATAAATCATTACTTACAGTCCAAACATCAGGAGGACACTGACCTAATGCTGTATCCAGCATGGTGCTATTCTTTCATCGTTTGATTTAAGACCAAAGGCCCCAGCTGACTAGTCTGTTTGGGAAGCAAAAGTGTACTCTGGACGAGAGGAGTGTTTTTCTCCATTTATTTGAAAGTCTACATTTCTATTTTAGCTCATGTCTGGTACTCCTTGGCGTGTGTTTTTGCCAAAAAAGTTGAGGCTGAACATGGACTTTGGTGAGACATGGAGAGGGGTCCCACAGTACTTACTGTTATATATTAAACTATACACTGTAGTTTCCTTATAACACTTTAGGTTGCTGTAAAGGCCTTCATTATTGATAAGTAGAATGAAAAAAGGACGCTTTTTTCCCATCCACACAAAATACTTATTTTTATTAAATACTTTATGTAAAAACTGCTTACAATTGGTAAGCCAAGAGAACTCATCCATCTGACAGGTATTGCAACTCAAGCTTATTAAACAGCATGATTATAACATGTGTACCTTGGGCTGGTCACAATAAAAGGCTACTCTAAAATTACCTGCTTATCTTGCAAAATTTGATTTATTAGGTATACTCTAAATTATGAATTTCACATGACTATAGCTAGAGATATGCATTTTTTGGTTTTGCATTTGTTGAACCAGATTTTATCATCTGTGAGAAAACTTCATCAAAAGTGAAAACGCCATTAAGTGTGAGAATTTGCTCACTTAGAGTTGGAAGCGAAGACTGACTGCAGTCCACTCAACAAGTAACCTGCTAAGGACAATTAATTTTCGGACCGTTTGTTCAAAGACCGTTTGATTTGCAAACCAACAGCTTTGCATCAGCTATTCGGCAAAGATGATCTTGCAGGTGAAAAAGCCACATATGGAGGTCCTGGGTTGGCATGGTTACATGTAGTCTGAGGTTGTGAGGCCTGTTTCAAGTACTGACAAATGACATGAGAGATAGTTATAGAGACGGTTATGTTTGTGAAATGAACATTGCCTACATTTCAGTAACAGCTCATACAGTACTGCAGTCAGCATGCTGGTCTTCTCACAAATGTGTGACATCGACAACATTGCCTTGTCTTATAAAACATGCAAAAGAGGCCTTTTATTTGGACCAGCCGAAGAAACCCCTGTTGTGCTTTTGTATTTAGTCGAGTCTTATTTTTCTCATGACAGTGACAGTGTAACTATGTTTCTTTACAGAAGAAGGAGTTGAAGTGTCTGGGTTTTTCGTGTTTAGAACCCAGTAAACGAGTGCTGATACAATCGAGGGTTGTTCTGTCACCAGTACTCGGCCACTTGCCAATCATATCCTCTGATTGTGTGCCTAATAACAGTGAAATGTGCTCCAAGCACCTAAACTTCTAGGTGAGTTTGGACCTTCTTTGTGCCTTTGTCACATTTAATTTCCCAACATGCCGCAACATGCATGCATCCTTGGTTTTCTCCTGGAAACAACTAAAGATTACAAAAGACACTTGCTTTAATGGCTTTGCACCGTTGGCAGAGCATCACAACATAACACTCGTCAACTGTCAAAGTGCTTTTGGCTTAGGTCGAAAGGAAATTAAGTCAACTATGTCGACGCACTGAGGTACAAGTATAAAAAGTACATTCAATTATAGAAATACACTAATTACTTCTCTGCTCAAAAACGTAATGATGTCATTCAGCAATCAATTTGAAACCAGACATACAACTAAAGTCAGTCGGCTATTCCAATTAAAAATAACCCAAAGAGAACAGCATTGCTCTAAAACATGACAGATAGAATTAAGAGTATAAAAAAGATAGATAGCTTACCATTAATTATTCTTCACTAATGTGCAGAAGTGGTGCAATCAATATACTAATTATTGACATTATAGAAAAACAACTTATACTTTGATTGGTCACTTTTGAGAATGTGATTGAAATGTGCAACAAGTGTACAGCACTCTACTGTATTTAAATATGTAAATTGTGTAGACTGTGGCTCACATATTCCTTTCCCAACCCATTATGGACATGGTGTTACATGCATTCAACATCTGTTACCTAAACAGAAAACACTTTTTGGGTGGCATCCACAATGAACTGAACTGAGTGTGCTGCCTGTGATGGTCGTATATTTAAACAACTACTATGCTGATACAGATGGAGTGATTTTCGAATGTATTTCTTGAATCAGTAGGGGAATTACTGTATAACCCGCTACACATGGACTACTATTGGTACAATGAACCTTTGTTCATTGGGTAAGTACACATGTTGCTGTGGGTTGCTGTACAGGATCAGCTCTGAGATTGTTATCATGCAATAATCACAAAGTAAAGTTGGCCAGCTGTGTTGGCTGGTTCTAGCACAACATGCATCATGGCATGCCAAAGATTCCTCCATCTTCTTTTGATGTAAGGCTGACACTGTACAGATTTGTTTGATGTCCATCCACTCCACACTTTATTGTTTTTCAGCTACCAAAAAACAACAAAGTGTCAACCACGAGGGTCAGATCCACAGACGGAGGCATTATTCATCTTTTCGCAGTGGGACACCGGAGAGTGAGAACTATCACAGTCAGATGTAGATGAAGAGTGCCCTAGTGTAGTACAAACGTCATTCTTGGTCTGTGGAGTCACCAATACACACAGACAG